TTACTTCTTTCAAAGAGACAGATCATGTTAGTAAGAGAAATTCAGGTACAAGAAATTTTTTCGAAGAAGAGTATCATCAAGTGGATAAGTGACGGAAAAACACTTCTATCTAATGAGATTTAGGAATATTCATGAAACTCGTCCTTTTCCCCCGCGAGATTGAAGATTCTGATTCAGAAATGACCTCATTAAGTGATTATTATTAGTGCGCATTTCGTCCTCAGGTACAAAAATTGAAGACTCCATGATGATATAGGCGCAAAATCCTTATTCTTCAGTGGTCAATCGACAAAAAACTGTTTGATATTCGCGAAAAAATTGAAGAGCTTTGATGCGCATTTTACCTTGAAAAAAAGATGAGTAAATCGGAAAAAAATCAAATATTTATATTTGGACTGATCTCATGACCGAATTAATTACTTCGGCGGTGTGTTTTAATCGTATCTAGCGCCAGCGGCTGTATTGCAGACAAATCCTTTGAAAATGATTCATTAAAAGGTTGAAAAAAAAATAGAAAAATAAATAAAATTAGATTTAATAATTTGCCCAAATAAACCAACCAAAATTAAGATTCAGATAAACCCCACATAAAAAAATGTCCAAAACAAAGAAGTGATTGACCAGAGGATAGGATTCAAGTACAATAATCTGAACTCTCACCGCCGAATCTTATGCATAAACAAAAGGCGCGAGAGGTAATATGTAAATCAGAGAAACTAATATACATATGAGGAGAAAATTTCAATCGCGACTTATTGATAGAATTCCAAAGCAGGGAGCAAAAAAAGAGCGCGCAGCTTGCAACCTGGTCTGAAAGCTTGAAGGTTAAGGCTAAGCGTGTCGATGCAGCGTAGCCTCCTCCTCGCCTTGCCGCGTCGCTAAGTGGATCGAGTCAATCAGAGAAGTCGGACATACAATTTTTGACTAAAACTGTAAATTTTGATGTATAATTCGCCACATTTTAAATTTTTAGGGGTGCCTACAGAATACAATTTCACGAGAAAACGAAAGGAACTACTTTTAAAATCTCAAAGTTTTGTATGAACGGAATTATAAGCTTTTAAAGTTTCAAAATGTTGTCCGGCCTCTCCTATTGACTTGATCCACCGTGCGTCGTTCTGTTGTTAAAATGTCGCAACTCCCGCGTCGACAGTTCTGCTCTAACAACCAATCAAGAACGATGTAATTGATATGGAAAACTCTAGGTAGATATGTGGTTTCTCTGAGCATGGGAGAATTCTTCGTTTTTCGGACGGAAGAATGTAAGTCAATTCTAAAATTACAAAATTGGCTTCAACGATTCAATTTTTCACAAGAATGTTCCCGTGCAAGTTTAGTCTAAAATGTTTCTGATTTTTCTATGAGGTCGGGGGTGAAAGTGAAATTTTCAGTTACAATTATCAAATATTTTTCTGGTAAAAATGCAGTTTTGCGAGGGGAAAGGCAACACTGAATTGTAGTTACATTCTTTAGTGAGAGAAATGAAATTCGATGCGGATCAGTGGCGTGGCTTGATTTGCGGTATATCGATTGTCATGCCATTTAAACCTAGGGAAAAGGATCGATACAACGCCTTCATAATCGATTCTTCATCATAAGTTTAAATGACATAACAATCGATTCACCGCAATTCACGCCACCCCACTGATGCGGATTCTTCCGTTTTTAAGCGCCCTATTTTCGTGTTCTACTCCGTAGGGTTGCGATTGGTTGGATCATTTTCAAAATGCAGAAGGTAAGTGGCATTTTTGAGATATTGAGGGGGAACGTGTTTCCTGCAATTGAAGGATAACACATAGGATTGCCAGCAAGATACTTGCCTTGAGGTTGAAAATTAAATATTTGTTCTAATCTTTTTAAGAACCTCTGAAAGTCGACTGGCTTAGAGCGGGTAGTTCATATTTACGGGCGATTTTCCAGCGAGGCATTGATATTTGACACGTTTTAAATAATAATTAGCACGAGACGCATTACGACCTCTTAACACCTTTTTGGAACAACCTCTTTGGAGTGTAAAGGACTGAAAGATGCTCACAAGCGCACACTAGATATAAAGATTGAGTCAAGAATTCAGGTTCTTAAAAATTTGATGAGAAAAAATACTCTTGATTCGATTTGATTTTTGCTCGAATCAAAATGAAATCCGCTTGAATTAAGAGGCATAGCTCTTGATTCAAGCAAAAGTCCAATTGAATTTTTTCTTGTCATTTTTTTTTAACAAACTGCATTAATTTTATATGTTAACGTTAGATAATACTATGATTTAGTTTTAAGCCACGTAGATAGATACAAGAAACACTTGTAGTAGTTACGATATATTTAAATAAAATTTCTTTTAAAAAAAAAAAAAAAAAAAAAAAAAAAAAAAAAAAAAATTTTTTTTTTTTTAAGCGTCAGGACTCTAGATCCAAGAGGTTTTTTTGCAAAGAAAAAATCAAGATCAAAGTAAGTAAAAATAGTCAATTCGTGCGGAAAATTACTACGGTTAGATTACACTGAAAGTTAGTTCTTCCACTCAAGTATTTGCGCTTTTGACTCAAGTCTTATGGATTGAATGAGTGGAAACGCAAGTAAAGTACAAAAAGTCTTTTGTAATTTTTCGGGAAAAAAAGAAGAAAAAAACGATGATATTTTATTTTTTTCCCATGTGCTGCACTGGATTTAATGAAGCAGAAAGGAACGAAACCAACTTTGAATTAGGAGTGTTTTAAACTAAACCAGTCGATTCTTGTCTCCCGTCAAATTTGTAAGACGAAAAATATTTCGAATGTAAAAATTGTCGATATTAATGTCTTTTTAACGAAAAATACCTTTTGCCCCTAGGTCGTGTTCTTGTGTGCTGTATTGATCGAGCTACTTCAAATTATCTTATTATTGTATTTTTAACATTGAGCCTTGTGGAAGAATGAAACTAGAATCCTCTTTTTATTAGTTCTAACTTAAAGCGTCTTGGTTTCAGGCTCTATTTTACTGAATTCAGTTCCATTTAACAGAGGACAAAGAATATACTTGAAGGAAAAATAACATATCGATGGCCAAAGTGCAAAACCACGTATCTCTGTTTTTGATCTCGCAGACTTCTCCTCATACTTTATATTTCCTTTTAGAAAACTATTCGTCGTAACTTTTTGAAAACTTCCTCGAATTTTACTCTTTGTAAGCAGAATATTCTGTGTAAATTTCAAGCTATAATATCGGCTTTTCTCTCTTCTCAATAATGAAATAAACGCGGAAGTTTTGAAACACTGCGATGGAGATACGTGGTTTCGTATTTTGGCCATCGGTATACCTACTCGGTGACAGATGGCACGAGCACGACACAGACGAGCCACGCCACGCCTTGTCACGACGCGACAGGCGACACGACAATGGCAACGCAGCAGCACAACTGAATTTTAAGAGGCTAATTTTCCATTTCAAACGCATCCACCGACTTCAGTGATGGCATCATTGTTTTTCCTCCTGAAATTTTTTATGAAGCGGAAACGGCGGGGGTCCTGAAAATTGTAGGATGAATATAGATGAAAGCCCCCCTCTCCTCCCTCCCCCTCCCCCTCCCCCCTTACCGGCCCGTCCCTCCTCCCTTTCCTCTGATAAACGCTTTCGTGTATCTTCATTAGAGAACCTACTGAATTAAATAACGATAATTGTTCTCTATTCCGTGATGTATTGCGAAGAAGACGAAACGAGCTGCACTTTTCTATGCATTTATGCATTCCAGATTCGGCATTCCTCTTTTAACAAGTTTATGTGGCAGAAATCCAATCCTAGGATTTTTCAATTTTTTCTTCTATCCTCCTTTCTTTTCTATCTATTTCGTAGATCTCGGATGTAGCTCAAAAAAGTATGTTGTGTTTTTCAAGAATTATAAATTCTAATTTCTCTCGTTTGCCAATTTTTTTACGTGGTAATTTTCTTTCTCCCAAACTTAACATTTTCTATTTTACCACGGAGGTGCGCCCCCTGACCGCTTTGCGGTCCAATTCTTTGAAGCGATTCGCGTCTCAGGCGTTATGCGCTACATGTTACTCTAATGATTTTATATTTGGAAGTATGGTAAGAAACCAATTGCAAGAACGCTGAATCTTTGCATAGATAAATTAATTATTTCTGCCATCATGAAAGTACCAAAGATTAGCAGGCTTATTCAGGCCGTTTTTTAGTTTTGACCGCAGCCATCGGAAAATTGAAATTCGACTTACGTAGCCAGTAGGTTAGCCTAAGTGAGTAGATTTGTTTTGGTTGAACAGAAAATACACATTAAAAAAATTTAAGGCTGAGATATGATGCATCCTTCGTCATACGACGATATCATTCTGTAATAAAAGTGATTTGCGTTTTTAATCAAATGTTGATACGGAGCATTTGCTTAACATTGGTAAAGAATCATAGTTTTCACTAGAAATAGGCAGATTCATGCTTTACGAATAGAATTTTTCAAGAAGTGATTTCAATATTGGAATGCGGTTACGAATTATAAGCTCAGAGAGGTAGAAGAGCCATTTGCATCGTTGTTTGCGAATGATTATTGTGATGATCATATGTTTGTATGCGTTCTATTTGAAGGCGCTATTGCTATGTGAGGATTTTTTCACAATGCTGACAATAATAAAATCTACGACTGTTTCGCTGATCGAAATTTTGAGAAAGGTACACATGAAATTTTTGATTCAGGTTTTTATCAATGATCTGTTTAGGCCCTCTTTCTTGTGTCTTCAAAACTCGGAATTAAAGTGGAAATACTGGATAGCAAAGTGAGCTAACCTCTACATTCCAGAAGAAACGAACATTCTAGCTTTCCACACGGACGGCAGCAGACATAAATGAAATATTATTCATAATCCACCTTTTTGAACAGAGACAATGTTTTTTAAAGTTTTTAGAGGTTGCAAATCAGTCCAATTAGTGAAGCTGCATGAAGTTAAGCTCATATATCAAACTCATTTCAGAGTGTATTAAAAATCCAAGTTAATTATAATTTTCAAGAAGTATACCGTAAATAAAATCAGGCGCATTTATTTACAATGACTATATAAATTCAGCATTTTAACAGGTAACATGAATCAGGAACAATAATTAACACAGGCAAGCGGGGATTTAGCGATTTTCGGATTTCTAAGATTTCTTGGGAGCGTCTTTTTCGGCGGGCTTCTTCTTTTCCTCCGCCTTCTCCTTCTTGATTTCTTCCTCTCGCATTTTGGTGTACTCGTTCTTAGGGTCATACTTCTCTTGAATTTCCTTGTAGGTTGCCTTGTCTTTCTCCATCATGTAATCCAGGATTTTGCTCAAAATTTTCTTCTGAGTGTCGGTGCAAGCCGCACATTTCTTAGTCATGGCCTCTGGGAGCACCTCTGAAAAAATTATAAATAAAATAATAATAATGAATTGTACGTTGATAAAATCATTTCTCATGTACCAACCGAGTACATTTGCAATTATACTAAGTATAATTACGCATTCATGATCTAGATCTTATATTTTTACGGTGTAGTGCCCTCGATTCTGTGTAAATCTCGGATGTTTCTTACATCAAGATCAATATCGGTATTGCCCACTGAGCACGTAGTCTTCAAATTTTAAAAAAAGCATAATTGCGGAATTCTTTGGAATAATCGTTGGAAGCCTTTACCCTGGCGTCAAAATTTATCGTTAATCTTTGTCTAGGTTTTACATTGAGTCAGTGCACATGCATATATAATTTTTCTGCGAAGATTTTCTAATATAAAAAAATGCTTATTTTTATCCTGATTATTCTTTTTTTTCTTGTTCCCCAATGAGAAGAGTGCATTTGGACTCGTGTATCCAATCGCAGAAATTCTTCTGTGTAACCAGGATGCCGCACAGTGAATCGAGTCAATTAGAGAGGTTGAACATGAAATTTTTGACTAAAACTGGAAATTTCTCTGTTAAATTCGTCACATTTTAAACTTGAAGGTGTGCCTTTAAAAGATAATTTCACGAGAAAACCAATAAAACCACTTCTAGAACCTCAAAGTTTCGTATAAACGGAGTTAAAGCGTTTTAAGTTGCCAAATTTTGTCCGACCTCTCCTATTGACTCGATCCAGTGTGTGCTTCTTGCGCACACAAAATCTTACCTCACTTAAATTACACAAAATCTTACCTCACTTAAATGATATGATAACCACGAACCACCACCGACAGTGCAAGTATATACTCCAACTTGATAATATTTCTTGCTCTGATACCAAGTGTTCAGATTATTTAAAGAATCAGCGGTTAATGACTCGAACTAATGAGTTCAAAAGGGATTAAAATAGAAAAATCTAATAATCTCTAAAAGTCCATATCGAAGCTGTAGTCGTGTATCAGATTTTCCCAGAATGAGTCACATCACTTTACATTGCCCTTATGTTGGGGAACGGTAGTATTTTATGAATCGTAATTGGAAGAGTAATTTCGATGACTGACATTTTTACGATAAACGCTGAGTCAGGGCTGTTGAGGGTACATTGATTGATCCAGTAAATACTGCTAACTGCAGAAGTTGCAAGGTGGTGCATACTTGCATTTATTAACGCATAACTTTATGACAGTAGACTTTGATTGTTTGAATCGACTAACCGATATTGAGATTTGGATGATTAAGCAACCAACACTCGTAACCATCCACCGAAGAAAACATAATTCAGCGTTAAGGGACTCAAAATGTATTCGTTAAGAGGTGTAGGTAAAAAACATCTTGATGCAGAAAAGAAAACCCGTTCGAGAGTATTAGACTAAATTACGGCTACGACGATTAAGACATTTCACTACGAGCATTTTCGAGCAGATTTTTTATAGTGAAACTGCAGAAATACGTGTCTCGATTGGCGGCATTGCAGACTTTCGGTCATACTTTATTTTCAACAAGGATGACGACTAAACATCTTTTTTTTTAAAAGTTCCAGTGATTTTTTTTTCAGTGCATCAAGAAAATTCTGTGAAAATTTCAAGTCGTGATGTGGGTTCGATCTCCTTTTAGAAAAATAAAATAGGAGCGAAGATCTCGTTAAAACACCGCAACCATAAAATACGCATTTCTGTATTTCACCATCGATTTGTGTAAAGTTCCAGTCTTCACAATTAAGGCTTAACATTTTCGGATTTTAATGCAGTTTTACACCCCCAATCGTTTACTGTATCTTCCTTCCTTGCTTCCTACCTTCAATTCCAGTTAGTAAGTCTAACTGTATGAAACACTGGCCAAGCTCCGTTAATTCCCTCCCGACAGAGGACTTAAGAATCATTAAAGAGCAAAGAGAAAGGTTAGATTATTTCCCGGAACGAACAAAAATACAAAACTGCATCTTGCTAGGTCAACGCTTGGATACAACTATACATGCTCAATGGATGTCCGTGTTGCGGAATGAAAAATTGAAGGCGTCTTTAATGTGCGTGCTCTAGTTTGGCACGCTTTGCGCGCTGTTGAAAATCTGTGGCGGGATGAAGTTGATGTTTTAAGATCAAGAACGAAGTTTCTCTTGCCATATCGCCACGCACGGTGTAAACGCCCCTATCTCCCTTACCTGAATAATTAAATGCTATTTATGCCATTAAAAGTCGTGAGATAAGGCAAAATTGGCAATTGGTTGAGAGGATTTTAAAATCACTTTAGTGCAGAGTAAGATTATATCGATCGAACGCATCTTAAAACTGTAACATTTGAAATGTTCGCGCTTTCAATAAAAATTCATACGCTTGACGGACTAGAACTCATTCAAAAAGTAATTTTGTCTCCATTACGAATTATCCATGCAAATGCTGTGTTTACTGTTTTAGGAACAATTATAATTATTTGCAACGCATAAAAAAGGAATTGTTTTTCGTTTTTCCAGAACTATGGCTAAAATTAAATAAGGGTGTGCTGAAATCTTTAAACAAACGCTTTTACTCAAAAAAGATGCATAATAGATAAAATTTTCCATTAATAAATAATTGGAGGAAAAATTGTCCTTGCAAAATGTTCGTGATGCGACTCGATTTTCATAGTTAATTTTGTAATGAGCATTATTTTTTTATTGATTATCGTATACTTTATTATTTCGGGTTGATTTACGTTGAACGGTTTGCAATTTAAACATGTTTAAATTGCAAACCTTTCAACGTACTTGAGTTTTGATGCAGTCTGTGAGAAATAGGTTCATAACCACGACTATCGCCCCAAGATTATGCGTATCACATAATACGCAGGGTAGTCCAATAATCACGTTACAGGGTGATACGCGTTTAAAGTAAAAAGAATAGATTTTAAGCAACGAAGTTTTATCTATGTACAAAGCATTTAATGTCTATAAAAAATTTAGTGATCTAGTAACAGCAAATGCAAAAAAAAAAAACAAGCGTAATACAGAATGCCTTGTCCTTGTTGTTTATCGACGGTTGTGAAACTCCAGGACTACTATGTTTGTAGTGTTTTAATATTTCCATTGACATTTTAATTTTTTGAAGGAAAAAAAATCAACATCATTCCTCGGAGTTTTCACGGAATTTGCTCTGCACGCAGAAGAAGGGCCCTGGGAGTTTTAAAGAATTGCTGTTGAACGCTTTTCCATTTAAAAATATAGGGTCATTCCACGTCAACGCAACCAAGGTCGGAACCCGACCCCCTCCGATTTGGCTGAAAATTGGTATACGGGGTCTTTACATCATTATAAGAAACTAATTTGAAGGGTTTTCCCATCCGACGCCCCGTTCGCGAGATATCGACCCCCAAAGATGGGGTGAATTTTAGCGATATTCAAAAAAGCCCGTTTTAGCGATTCTCATTTTCTCGACTTCCCTCTCTTTGACAATCCACAGCGAGACTCTGTATCAATCCATCATACTTTGAAAGAGTGTTTCTAGACCAGTTTTTCATGTAGATTCTAAATATGCCATCGAAATTAAGCTAAAAATTATTTAAATGGCCGTAATTTAGAGTTTTTTAAAATTTACGATTTTTTTGCCATTCAATGTTCAAACTCAATTATCTAAAAAACAGTCACTCCGATTTTCGATTTTTTTTTT